TATTTATACTCATGAGTTATTACAGTATTACAGTCTGATAAATTGCTATGCTAAATATTTAAGGCTTGCTCTTGTATTAGATACTTCGACTGAACTATTATAACTCGACTTCTACATAGAGTATTACACTTAAACTTGGTACCTAAACTGCTTAGAGAGCACACATAAATTTAAAGTGACAATAATATAGATATCGTATACGAATTCGTTTCCCAATTTCCACACACTCTTCTACACTCGCTTAGAGTAATTAAGCTTCGGTTTTCCTTAAGCCCCGTTCATTGTCTTTGACACATTTGTTTCGCTGAAAAGGCGATACAAGCCCTTGTTTATCACGTGATTTGGACGCTTAACAAGCGAACGCAAACGCGAACGCAAACGTGCCGCAACAGCAAATAAAACTCATGATATGTTTGAGCATGAAATCAAATTAAAATTTAAATAAAAACCGAAAAACAAACAATGACATCATTATATGTTTTTGTCTTGCGTCGAATGGGCAACGCTTGAACTTTAATAAACTCTGCACTTGTTTCTTTCCGTTTCGTGCTTCTCTATTTGCCTTCCCTTGTCCATCCATTCATCACGCTGCGTTTGGCTGCTATTTCGTGTTGTCTTTGTCTTTGTCCAATTCACATTTGTGACGTCAGCAGCGGGTCTGTGAACAGGTTTTAATTGTTCGTAACGTGCTGATAACACGTTAACGCAAATAGTTGCGATACCCCTAATGCGCTAGTGTTAACGATCTGAGCTGACGCTTCGAAATTGGGGTGTCTCTGATAGTTCAGGGTAAGAGAGATTAGCTTGGGGTTACAATAGATTAGACATCGATTTCAATTTTAATATATACAAATAGAAATATAATATTTTTACATGGTTGGGGGGAGCTGCTTACGACCTAGGGCTATATACGAAGTCTATATTTATTTATAGAAATGCATTTTAATGTAATGCATATTATTAAACACATGTTAAACCTCTGTAAGACCTTTTTGCACGCTTATTAGAACTATCTTCCACTATCTAGAATCGAGATATTGACAAATATAAAATAATTCGATCGAAAAATTAAACTTTGCGAGTGTTTCGATAACAAAAATCGATAAGCAGATGCTTGTGCGATATCAAAGATTAGCTTATTTTACTGCCTATCCTTACCTTAGCATGAAATATTATGGGTATGCCTGTTGTTCCAAAATTACAAATATGTAATGTGAATGATAACGATTATAAATAGGGGTTTTCCCTCCTTCTTTCCTCAATTTATAAAGGGTATGCCTCTCACACAAAGTTCAATGTTATCGAATATAATAAGGTATGCGGCCTATTTAATAACAAATTTTGTGCTATAAAGCCAATTTTCAATATCATCGAATGTAAATAGGGGTGTGGTTGTTTCTTGTTTACAGTATTGATTAACTTCACAATTCATTAAGGGTATGCCTCTCACACAAAAGTCAATGTTATCGAATATAAAAAAGTGTGCCCCTCTGTTTAATAAACTTTTTAAGACCTACACCAGGAAGAATAATGGCTGTTAATTTAATTATTGTTAATTTACAATTTAACAAAAAAGAAGAAACATTAAGGGTATGCATAAAGGGTGTGCACCTTGTCAAAAAAAACAGACTAATCGAAAAGCATTATCGAAACAATGTTATCAGAGTATGTTGACAAAAAACTAATCGAAATGCATTAGGGCGAAGCCTTAACCGTACTTGGGTCAAAGAAAAACCCATTGCAAAAGCTGCAAAAAAAAAAATGTTTTCTCTTAAGCTTTTAAATTAGTCGCTCGATTAATTTGCAACTGTGTTTGTTTTAGTTATTGGCGAACGTTTCTTTTTGTTTCGTTTTATTTTCGCTTTTCGTTTTTATCAAATGCGATTCACAAAGCCATTGACCGTTGTCCGCAATGACATTGGGAATGCACACGAGCGTATACTCTATATTATATGCATATGTGTGTGTATATATATATATACTTTATTGGCATTAACTGAAAGAAAGAGAACAAAAGTCACGCCATGAGTCATTGCACCCAACGTGGGTTCGTCCAGGCTGTGTGACTTTTACTTTTCAATTATTTTCCCTCGGTTTTTCTCGAACAGAACAAGCGGGCGCATTGCATCCGAAGGGTGGGGGGGCGGGTGCGGGGGTCCTACAAGGGCGGCCGCCGGTTCAAAAACTTTCGCATTTCGTCCTTGTGGGGTCAGGGAACTGACCCGGCCCGGCCGGGCCCATTAAAGAAAGAAAGAAAAGAATAATAAAATATTATCATTCGCTTCGAGCTGGCGGCATTTTTTTTATTTTATTGTCGGCCCGACTTTAATTATTTTGCATGCACCGCAAATCCCTCCAACAACAACAACAATAATAATTATCATATATGCGTATTTTTTATTGCTTCTTGATGCTTCACTCAATGCGGCATCGTCGGCAGCCATAAATAAAATAATTAAGTTATTTTTAAAGTTTAGAGCCTGCGTAATGTGCGAATTTTCATTTTATCAACAACATGCTTAAAGCTGTGGAAATATATGTAAATAACTTAAATTTTAATCCGTCAAAAAATAAATTCTGTAAATAAATAACATAAATATTCTCTTAAGTGAAAGATGTCGCTTGAGGGAAAATATATGAAGTGTACATGGGAATTTCCAGGTAAAGGTCAACCCTGACCAAAATTAAAAACAACCTTCTTAATTCTTTGTTCTTTACTGAAAATATTCAAAAATGATGCAAAAAGTGGAAGGCAATGAAACGTTCTTTTCCAACGATTAATATTATAGAACTAAACCTCGAGTGAAAATTACGAAAAAATAATTCAGATAGCGTGCTCATATTAAAAAGGATAAGAATTATTGGATATCATAAAAAGAAAATGCTGAAAGAAAGTTGACCATGAGAGACACGAAACGAGACATTTTTGCCTTTTAGTTACTTCATTTTAAGCTTTGCATTGTTTTACATATTACTAAATTCCATTTCGTTTTCTCGTTTTCAAATGAATTTAACATTTTGCGCTAAGTCTGGTCACACTGTAACACTTTAGATTTGTGTGCACCCCAACGCAAGATGGCAACACTGAAATTCTGCGCCTGTTCATGTTAAAACTAACAGAACAGCTCAGTTTAACAGAAAATGTTAAATACGCCTGAAACGAAGGTTTGTTATACAACAAAATATTTTATATCAGATGAAAATATGGAAATCGGAAATATATATTATAGGAAAACGATCGAGTTTGACAAAAGTGTAATAAATCGTTGTTAAATGTTTTTAAATAGTTATTTCCATTACAAATGTTCAGCTCAGTGAATGCAAAAGTGTTTATTTAAGATCTGATGTCATAGGCTGCCAAAAAAATCAAAGTTCTGGCATTCGCCCTAGCACAGTGCACTCATAAAATACAAAATACTTCTTCATTGACTCATTTCCCAACCGAATTATCAAGCCTGGAATGTGCTGCTCACCTTTGACTTGCCAAAGTAGTTGCAATTCGGCTTCCCGAGCATGACCGAGTCTTTCCCATTTTGGACGTGACTCATCCTGATATCAATTGAAGCCATCTTTATGATGACACATTAACTATTGCCATTTCTATAAGGGAAGGGGCTTGCGTGCGGACACCTCAACACATTAAAGGTTGCGCTCGCTTCTCTCTTGTCTGAGCTCATATATATATGTATATACGCATTATCGTTCGATTGCGAATTCTAAAGTTCTGTATGGGCGCATGCTATTCGCTGTGCACTATTCAGCGCTGGCCATGATCTATAACCCATAAAACTCGGCTGTTTGGTTCAATGTACTCATTTCTTAAAATGCTAATCACAGTCGAACGCAGCCGCGCTTTAATCAAGAATATATATTATTATGATTATCGCGTTGGCAATTGTCGAAAGTCCTTGAAAGGTATTTGTTTTTGTTTTTGTTTTTTTTTTTAGTCTGACTTGTGAAAAACCAGTTGTCGGCTTTTTCAGCCCGAAACATTTGCTCAAGGTGAGCGCGAATCTGGGCGAGTGGCTCGCCATTAACTGAGAACTGAGTTTTTAGTGCTCGAAAACGTTCGACTATAACAGTTATTATTATTATTTTTATTGCTCTTAGCATTCAAATTGAACTTTAAGTGATTTTTACTTTATGCAATTGCAGACAATTGTTGAATAGATTATTTCTTTTTTTTTAGCTTTTGTTTGTTTGTCTTTTTTTTTTTTTACCAGTGTTGCATAATTAAATGCGACTCTGCAATTTGTTTGTTCAGCCAATAATTAAGGCAATACTTAACTGTACGTACATGTATTTATTTCCAGCTGCTCCACTGACATGTTAAGCCATTTGATATCGAAATTGACAGACCGTTGCTGAGGGAGGGCGAGGGGGTGTGTGGAGGGGGCTTGCTTTCAATCATTCAATCAGTTTAATGAGCCAAACGAATTAACTGACTCGTTGTTGTGGTAACATTTGATGGGCGACTCTTTTATAGATCTCAGTTTTATCTATCAAATTGTTCGACTTTTTTTTTCACTTTTAATTTTGCGATAAGCTGACAATTTAATTGCGCATTTGGCATTGCGCTCAAACGGCGACTCTTTTATTTTTCCGACTCTTTTTATTTTTGGCATGTAGGAAGTTTTATTATCATTTTTATTGACCTCAATCCCCGCAAGGTCAAACTTAAAATAAACCGCATTTGTATTTGCCTCGCGGCTGAAGCTGCCTTTAAAATAGCCGCATCCCAAATCGCGTGATGAGTTTTTAATTGTTGACATTTGATTTTTAGATATGTGAGAAAATTAAATATATTTAAATTGCTATTTATAGAAATAATTGCAAACGTAACCTTAAAATCAGTTAGAGATGCTTTTAAAAGCCTTCAGAAAAGGGGGTTAAATTAAATATGAGAATTTTGTGAATATTTCAAATTTAATATGCATTTATTTCAGCTCTTACTCCTATTAAATTTTATAATAATTAAACTTCAATTGAATTTTTTTCAGTGCATCTGGAACAAGTGCGGTTGCGATTGACAACAAAATCGAACAGGCAATGGTAAGTGCAATACTTTATTCGTAAACCGAGCTATAAATAGAACCGCAAATCCTTGTCTTTAATTATAATTTCTGTATGTAGAAGATGTCTGTGTGCCTGCTGTTGATAAGCAACAAAAAGTTATCTCTAGAGTTGTTTTTATGTTGCTTATCAGCGGCCGTGAAAAATAACATCGAATTGCTCAAATTGTTATTTTCTGCAGATTAAATTTAAGCCTGATCTGATCAGCGACCGTTGCACTTCAGAAAACCAATTGTGACTGTAAAAAACAAGCACTTGAGTTTGGCCAAAGAGCCGAGTGACTGGCCGCCCCTCTCTGCGCTTCTCATTTGTCTGCAAATTCAGTTCAATTGAATTGATGGCTCGCTCTCTCGTTTTCTCGTGCAAGTACGCAGCTATTTTTAGACTCAATTAAAAGAGCAACTCACAGCTCACAGCTACAAGCTGACAATTGTTTATTATTTGCCAACTCTTTGTTAAAAATAACCCCCATCTCGACAATTGTGTTGCGTTGCGTTCAATTGAACTGCGTGCCGCCAGCTCTTGTGGGCGGCTTTTGATTGAGCTGAACTTTTGCGCCCACCCAGTTATGTTGCGGTATATACGAACTATATATGTATATGCGATATTTATATAGCCTTGATTGTTTTGCTGTTATTCTTGGAGTGACAGGATGGTCGCTCTTCAAGTTGATCCCAAACAAAACCTTGCGAACAACTACGGCACTTGGGCTATTATAAAAGAACCTTGTGTAGCGCTGGGAATAGTAACAGAAATATTATATAACTGGGTTGAATTTTATGATTGAAGGGCGTTGAGGTATTCTAGAGAGCCTGGGCTTATAGTAGTTTACGAGTGGATTATGTTTGCGAACTAGTTAGTTACTTTTAGATAAGTGCAAAATATGAATAATAATAATAATTATTACTTCCTTTCCTTCATTCATTCAACTGTACGCAAAGTTTTCTTATCGAGGCTTTTTTATGGTATTTGACTTACCTTCAATGGGCCAAAAGTGAATGACGTCAAATCATTAAAGATTATCTTTAAAATTGTTTAATAATCAACACGATTAAAGCTCTCAACTAATCCTGGCTATTGATGGGTTATTAATTGACGTTAACTGCAGTTCAAAATAGTCCAAAATGAGTTTGTTAAATAAATTGCCTGTTTTCTTTATAGCCTTGTATAAATGTATAGTGGTCCTATATAGGAAGATGCGTGTCTGTATATGTATATGCCTAATATATCAATATTTATTTACCCCCTTTTGCTCTGCTAAAGTACTTTACATTAGGTTTAAAATCATCAATCAATCAATCAATCAATCTAAAATGTATATATACTCCATCACGGATCTGACTGTGCTTGAGGCTTGACACATATTGTTGCCACTTGTTGCATGCAGATGCAGCTTGTTGCAGTTGCCGCTCGTTTAAGTCAGTCAACTTTTCCTTTTGAAATCAAATCTATAACTCTCCAGACAGAAGCAGCAGCAGACGAAGAAGAAGCAGCAGCAGCAGAAGACGCTGCCGTTGACCATTGTTGGTCAATTGGGTCAATTCAATTGCCGTCTGCACTTTCTTCGGGCCAATAAAAAGAAAGAGACAGAGAGAGAGAGAGAGAGAGATAAAAAGCCCAAAGCTGATTCTGTGCGTTGCCTTTCTATTTGTCTGAGAAGTTTCTATCGCATGTGAAAGTCAATTTTCCAATTTATTTTTCACTTTTCTTGCAACAGGATTTATGCGTGCTGCTTCCTCTTCTCAATGATGCGATTGCTTTTGACCTTGGCTAAAAAAAAAAACAAATAAAATAAAATACATTTTTATAGCATTTTATTCGTGCTGTGTTTTATTTTTATTTTATGAGCGCTCGCCTCGCGCTTATCAGCAAATTCTGTTGTTTACAAAATGGCAGACATTTGCTTGAGTGTGCGTGTGTGTGTGTGTGTGTGTGTGTGTGTGTGTGTGTGTGCATGTGTGTCTGTGTGTGTGTGTGTGCGTAGCTTATCGCGCAGCGGCACTTGAAAATGCCATAAATTTTTTGCCATTCCGCTGCGCAAAGCTTAAAATAATAATAATAATAATGAACATAATAAAATACACACACACCCGCACACACACACACACACACACCATAATCGCTTTAAGTACATTTTGTTGTGCCCATGGCAAAAACAATTTTATTTTTTTCACAATTATAATTATAATTATATCAGATCCAAGCGAAAGTGAAAGTCATCGAATTATGCATCACTTTAAACAACAAAAATCTCCCCTTTTTGTTTTGGATATTTTGAGTGAAGTTTGAAGTTATTTTATTTTCGATAGGGTTTAAAAATAGAAATGACACCTGAAGCGCTTGTCAGGTGCAAACAAAATTACATTTAATGAGTTGTTTGTGCGATTTGATTTTTAGATATGAAAATAAAAACAATTGTCATTTTATCAAAATAGTAAAATGTTCGCATAAAAGCAATGCGATAAGCTCCGGAAAAGGTGCTGCTGATTAGATAAGTGAATCGTAAAAGTATTCTAAACTTTGCCCATTCAAAGTGGGCGTTTTTTGAGTTTATGAAGTATATAAACACATCAAACTTATATTTGGAACATATTATAGATAGTACCTCACAAAACATTGCCATAAATAACAAATTTGAGGGAGAAGCTTTTAACTTACGCCAGGCACAGCATATTAAAGCTCAGACTTAGCTATAGTATATCTGTGTTGGGTTGGATACAATAGCTGTATACAGAATTGTATATATATATAAGCACATTAACTTACTTCGTCGTCAAATTTCCATTTAACTTATCCATTCAGATCATTTCTATGCAAAGAGTTCGAATCTGTTTTTAACATCACAAAATATTAAACCTAACCTTAGTATACTTAGCTACAGTATATCTGCTTAGTATAAGACATAATGTTTGTCTCAATATAGAATTGTATATATGAGGGGGAAGCTTTTAACTTACGCCAGGCACAGTATATTCAAGCTCAGCTTTGTAGACTTAGCTTTAACATATCTGTTTAGCATAAGTCGCAATGTTTGTCTGTTTAAAGAATTGTCTATATATATGCATATTTACTCAATTCGTCGTCAAAGTTTCATTTTAACTTATCTATTTGGATCATTTCCATGCAAAGAGTTCAATATCTTCCAATCGGAAGAGTCCATGCCCCCCGTCTGAGTAATTCATGTGACGACATTTCGAATGTGTTTCTTAAATCTTTATAAATATTTTAAACGCGCTGCAAAAGTCATTTGTTATCTACAAATAACGCGCATTTATTATACATTTTTCGTAATTTATTTACGGCTGCCATCAAAATATGACATTTTTCCTGTTTTACAAATTCAGGAACAATGCGAAAATATAAACAATGCAAACGCACGCCCTTCATGTGGGCGGAAGTCTGGCGTTGGCTTCCTTAAAAACAATGCCTTTTTTATTTATATATATATATATATAATTTGTATTTTGTTTATAATTTGTTTGCTTATCAATCAAAGTGCGAATCAGTTCATGACGTCACTTTTTTTGCGCATTTAAAAAGAGTTTTTTATAGCTTTTTCTTAGGCAAACACTTTTGCCAGGCACACGACTCTTGGCTATGATTAGGGGAGGAGTATATTTATTTGCCATAGAAATATCAGCAATTGCAGCGATAAGAACGGGCCTGGGGCCATAGACAATGTTTATTATGCATAGAACAAACTCTGGCGCGATTATCTGTCTTATATACGATGAAGCCTACCCTCGACACTCTCACGTTCCACTTTCTTCTTGGGCTAATCTCTTTGCGCGTTGCGCGCAAATGCCCTGAAAATGTGGATTTAATCTCTTGAAGAACAAAAACATATTTCAGTCAAAACAAAACAAAGTCTAGGCGCCACTTGGCTGGCATTTCAATCATTAAATATCACTTTTTTTTTCTTGAGTCTATAATATAAACGTTCCTGATAAGGTTTTTAGGTTATACTAATATTAAGTAATTGATTTAACAAATGCTTATCAGCTGCTACGATTCGAAGAGCTAGACCATATGAAAACAAACTTTTGTCTACAAATTTTGATAAGCTTTTAAATTGACCAACGGGAAATTGAAGAGCATAAAAGTTGAAATCTATCAATATATATATTTTATAGCTAGAATTTAGCATAGAATCTACTATATATCCACTATATAAAGTTTAGAAAATTCTACAGCATACTTTTGTGCTGTTCTTTCTAATCGCAGGCCAAAGTACCTAAAATATAATATTGTGTTAATTTGTATGCATCCAATTTTGGGATTAAAAATTAAAACAATTTTCAGTTTACAAATTTTCAACATTTTTCAGCACAAAAAGTGTATAAAAATATTAGACAAAATTAGTTTGTTGGCATTTTCGCTTTTGTCAAAAATATACCAACTGAATTTTAATTCTTGTCAAAAATTTACCAACTGAATTTTCTTTTTTGTCAAAAATATACCAACTCGAAAATCTTGAAATAACATTTTATATTAACTTTGACACCCAAATTAAAATATTAACAACCTTTCATAACTTGTTTATGTTTAATTTTCTGTTAATTTTGATTGAGAAGTTGTGATATTTACGAAAAGGAATCAAAAAGTTTAAATAATTTAACTATTTTTAATTAATTAGGGTTGAGACGCAGAGTTAAAATAGAGAATAGACTAAACCTGACCCAAATGTTAATTTGCTTGAAAATGAGTTCATTTTGGACCAACTTATCAAATCGAAAAGTTTCTTATATATCTCTTGATATTTATTATACACACGATCTGAACAGTTGCTGTGACTTGTCAACAACATTCCCGCAGAGATCATTAAAGCTTTGCGCTTAATGCAAACTTTGCAATCAGCAGCAATCGATTGAAAATCGATTCATTAAAGCTTATATATATATATACATATATGTTGGAATAGTACTCGCATGGTTTACCTGCCTCTACTCGTCGTGTACTGGCAATAATTTCTTAAAGCT